GGTGAAACCCCTTCTCTACAAAAATACAAAAATTAGCCGGGCGTGGTGGTGCATGCCTGTAGTCACAGGTACTCGGGAAGCTGAGGCAGGAGAATCGCTTGAACCAGGGAGGTGGAGGTTGCAGTGAGTTGAGATCGTGCCGCTGCACTCCAGCCTGGGCGACAGAGCGAGACTCTGTCTCAAAAAAAAAAAAAAAAAAAGAAAGAATACATTAGCTCAACTCTGGGTTTTAAGGAAACAGAACTTGTGTGTTTGCCATTCTCCTTGACTAAATGTAAGAGAAAATTTCAGACTGTTGTTCAGTCTTTATTATAATTTAGTAGGTATTCCCTTTTCAGGTTACCTTATGCCACCTCTCTTCACGCCCAGTCCAAAGCAGGGCCGCCCTTTTGCCTGGATCTAGTTTAGTCATTTTTATTATTTGCCAGTATCCCTGGTAACTTCAGCATCCACAAATGTGGCACCCTGACACCACAGTCTTTCTACATCCTTAACTTCATCAAGTTTTTTACCACTCAAGTGGTAAAAAGTGCAAGCCTGCACCAGACCTTGGAGACCTTAATCTCTGGGAAATGACCACCTCCAGGGACTCAAATTTGGTGTTTCTCATTGTTAGCAACTATCTCCTTCTCTTTTGCCTCACCCTAATCATCACCCTTGGCCTGAAACTTGACAGCTCTTATTTTAAATGAATTTATTTTCCACACATATTGTGAGCGTCTACCATATACCAAGCATTGTATTCATCAGGCACATGTATGAAGGACTAGGGGGTCTCGGGGGAGACAGGAAGGAAGGGTCCTCAGCCCAGGGGTCAGTCAAACCCTCTGACTCGCTCTCCACCTTCCCAAGGCATGGGGAGTCATGCCAGTAGTCAGTCAGGTAGCAGTATGCCATAGGCAACACAAGCATAACAGACGGGAAAAGGAGTTCTTGATTTGCCTCCTAAGTCAGCTTCTTTCTGCAAACTCACCACTCTGTTATTGGCATAACCATTCTTCCAGGGACACCTCTTCAAGCTAAGAGCCATCTTTACTTCTGTCTCTCCCTCAACTCCCTCAACTAGTCACCATGTTAATTCACCACTCAGTGTTTCTGGCATCTCTCTCTTCTTCCCATGCCACCCACAAGACTATCTTAACACCTCCTAGGCAGTCCGCCTGCCTCCCCAGTCCCTCCACAGCAATCTGACTCATTTCTCCAGATCTTCCAGACTTCACCTCTGCTCCCAATCAGCATACCCTTCCCCTCTGCCATTGTCTGTCAAGTCATTTCTAAACTCAGTGTAGGGCCAGGTTCGGTGGCTCACGCCTATAATCTCAGCACTTTAGGAGGCCGAGGCAGGTGGATCAACTGAGGTCAAGAGTTCAAGACGAGCCTGACCAATATGGTGAAATGCTGTCTCTACTAAAAAAAATACAAAAACTTAGCCGGGCATGGTGGCACATGCCTGTAACCCCAGCTACTTGGAGGGCTGAGGCGGGAGAATCACTTGAACCCGGAAGAGGGAGGTTGTGGTGAGCCAAGATCGCACCACTGCACTCCAGCCTGGGCAACAAGAGCAAAACTCCATCTCAAAAAATATATATATTAAAATAAATAAATAAACTGTCTAGTGGTTGAGATCATATGTGATGCAGCCACAGTGCAAGATACTTTTTCTTTTTTTTTTTTTTTTTGACGGAGTCTCGCTCTGTCGCCCAGGCTGGAGTGCAGTGGCACGATCTTGGCTCACTGCAAGCTCCGCCTCCCAGGTTCATGCCGTTCTCCTGCCTCAGCCTCCCGAGTAGCTGGGACTACAGGCACCCGCCACCATGCCCGGCTAATATATATATATATTTTTTGTATTTTAGTAGAGACGGGGTTTCACCGTGTTAGCCAGGATGGTCTCGATCTCCTGACCTTGTGATCCGCCCGTCTCGGCCTCCCAAAGTGCTGGGATTACAGGCGTGAGCCACCGCGCCTGGCCGATACTTTTTCTTATTTTTGGTTGCCCTGCACATGACTCATGCTTCAGCTAACATGTTCTGCTCACCTTTTTCCAAGCATATCTTAACCTTTCCACTTTTTACATCTTTGCTGTTTGACTTGCTCAGATGGCCCTGCCCCATCTCTGCCTGTCAACATCGCTTCCTCTTTGAATACTCATCCCACGCGGTCACCTTCTCTATGAAGCTTTCCCAGCATGGTGCTGTGGAAGGATCTTCAGAATCTGAAAACTCAGGTCTCAGGGCTGAATCCTATCAGATCAAGTCCAGGCAAGTCAATAATCTGCCCTGAATCCTCTTTTCATCTATAAGTGAGGATCCTGAATCATTGGGGTTTTATGAGAATCAAATTCTAAAATGCATGTGGAAGTTCTTTGAAATTGCTATATTAGTATTAGTTGTTACTATCTTCCCAGCCAGGAGTAATATCTTTCCCTCTGAACCTTAGAAGAACTTTACTTACAGTTTTGTATTGCTGCAATTTGTGTAGTCTTATCTCTCTCTCTCTCACCTATTGCTATGGTGTGAACATCTGTGTCCCTCCAAAATTCATACGTTGGAAGCCAGTACCCAATGTGCTAGTATTAAGATGTGGGGTCTTTGGGGAAGTAATGAAGTCATCATACCTCTGCCCTCATGAATGGATTAGTGCTCTTATAAAAGAGGCTGGAGCCAATGTGGACCTGTGGTCCCAGCTACTTGGGAGGCTGAAGTAGGAGGATCATTTGAGGCCAGGAGTTCAAGGCTATAGTGGGCTATGATCACACTTGTGACCAGCCACTGCACTCCCGTCTGGGCAACATAGCAGGACCCCATCTCCAAAAAAAAAAAAAAATGTTGAAGGGAGCACCATAGTGCCTGTTGCCCTTCTGTCTCTTCCACCATGTGAGGACAGTGTTCATCCCTCCTGCCATGTGAGGACACAGCAACAAGCAGAGAGCAGCCCTCACCAAACACAGAATCTGCTGGGACCTTGGTCTTGGACTTCCCAGACTCCAGAACTGTAAGAAATAAGTTTCTGTTGGCCAGGCGTGGTGGCTCACACCTGTAATCCCAGCACTTTGGGAGGGTGAGACGGGCAGATCACGAGGTCAGGAGATCGAGACCATCCTGACTAACACAGTGAAACCCCATCTCTACTAAAAATACAGAAAATTATCTGGGCTTGGTGACAGGCGCCTGTAGTCCCAGCTACTCCAGAGGCTGAGGCAGGAGAATGGTGTGAACCCGGGAGGCGGAGCTTGCAGTGAGCCAAGATCGCACCACTGCATTCCAGCCTGGGCGACAGAGCCTCTGTCACAAAAAAAAAAAAAGAAATAAGTTTCTGTTGTTTATAAATTATCAGGTCTCAGGTGTTTTCTTCTAGCAGCATGTTCTATCATACATGTTTGCTGAATGAACAAATGAATTAATGAGTGAATGAGTAAACTCCTTCCTTCCCTCATGATCGCCTTTTGGCTAATTCACCACACTCGAAGCACACCTGAAGCAAAAAGCAAATACTGAAAATTGAAGAAAATGACATCCAAATGCATCAACCCAGCTACCTAGCAGTGCTTTTACCTCAGTGGTAAAGAAATCTAAAATAATAAGAGTTTTCATTTACTGAATTCCTGCCAGGCATTTGTATACATCATCTCTAATCCCTGTGAAAGCCCTGTGTGGTTGAAATTGTCATCTCCATCTCTCTCTGGGGCAGGCAGAGCTTGGAGCTCTGGTTCCAAGGCATGGTGAGGGTCTGTGGTGTCGGCAGGAACAATGGAAGCAAAAAGACACACAAAGACAAGTGTTTTCTGTTGTGGCCAATGTCTAGAACAGCAGTAATGAAGACCTCCACTCTCCCCAAAGAATAAATACAGTCCTTAGACTCTAGGAAAGCAAAGTCTCCTCTCCAAGGGGTGTCCCCTTTCCAGGGAGCACCAGTCATGGAAATAGGTGTGCCTAACAGGGCAACCATCTCATGACCCATGCTAATCAGTAGCAGCAGACACAGCATTGTAGCAGTAAGGCGAAAAGTCAGAGAGGAAGAACCAGATAAATCCTCAGAAATAATTGGGGACACCTCAAGCAAGGCTACTGTCTGGCCAGTAAGCACTGATACATAATTATGTGGATAACACAAATGAGGTAACCTCAAGGCATAATAATGGGCTAATGGGCCTGGGACACACACATTGTACCTCCAATATCATTTTCAAATAATTAGACTACAATAAAATAAACACTGTTAAAATAGTAGTGGGCATAATTTAGAATATACTTATGGTCTCAAGGTCATGATTCTGCATGATTTTACACATATGTAAAATCTACATGATTTTACATATGTGTAAAATCTAATTTTATACTACTATATATTGTAGGACACATATATAAATAAAATTTTAAAATACTAGATATTATAGTACATATATGTAAAAATATAATTGTACAATACTAGATATAGAACGAAATGGTACCTTAGAGATGAACACAGTCCTGAAAATTTAGTAACTTGCTGGTTCTTTCAATAACAAGCAGTGTGTCCTTGAACAGGTTATTTCATATAAGTAGCAAGTTGCTCACTTGTGAAATGAGCATGTTGGACTGGGTGATCTCGAAGGCTCCTCGCACAGGCATAATGCTTTGAGCCTGTGAGCCCATCACTCCAGTCCAGCAGCGTCTCTTCCCCTGTCTCTCCCTATTTTATAGATGAGAAATACAAAGACAGTAAATGATCATAATTGTCAAACGGACCGGAAGTTGAGTATTCTGATTTTTTTCCACTCATATCCAGTCCTTCATGGGCCTTCTGATTTTCCAGAAGCTGCCACTGTGCTCAACCCACGAGGTCTTCCCTGTCTCAAATGCATTAGGCCACCAAATCACCCTCAAACCAAAGTTTTCACTCTCAAAATAGTTGAGATAGGCTGGGTGCAGTGGCTCGTGCCTGTAATCCCAGAGACTTAGGAGGCTAAGGCAAGAGGATCGCGTGAGCCCAGGAGTTTGAGGCTGCAGTGAACTGTGAATGCACCACTGCACTCCAGCCTGGGCGACAGAATGAGATCCCATATCTGAAAAAAAAAAATTAAAAGTTATTAAGATAAATCATTATCTCAGATAAGAAATAATTCATTCACATTAAGGTATGAATGACCTTATTAAACCATATGAACTCCAGCAGATGGAATGTCTGATATATCTAACCTATTATTAACATCCACCCTCCCCTCCCCACACAAGAAAACAAAAAGCAACCCTTTGGCATCCAATTTCAGCTGATCCCTGCTGGAAGTTATTTTGATAATACTAGACCTACTGGGAAGTGACCTCTTTGAATGAATGCCAGATTTGTTATCTGTTTCTGCATCATCTTGTTCAGTAAACATGAGTACCTGGAGGAAAGCATTTATGTCTCAATCGTTTTTGGGTTCTCTGTGTCTAATATGGTACATAGCACATGATGAGGCCTCAACAAATGTTAGGTGGAAACTCAAGTAGAGAAAAACATTAACCTTACCCATTGGAGCGGAATCCATAAAATGTTTGGTATAATAAAAATGAGGAGCAGCCGGGGGCGGTGGCTCATGCCTGCAATCCTAGCCCTGTGGGAGGCCGAGGCGGGCAGTTCACAAGGTCAAGAGATCAAGACCAGGCCGGGCGCGGTGGCTCACGCCTGTGATCCCAGCACTTTGGGAGGCCGAGGTGGGCGGATCACAAGGTCAGGAGATGGAGACCATCCTGGCTAACACGGTGAAACCCCGTCTCCACTAAAAATACAAAAAATTAGCCAGGCCTGGTGGCGGGCGCCTGTAGTCCCAGCTACTTGGAAGGCTGAGGCAGGAGAATGGCGTGAACCCGGGAGGCGGAGCTTGCAGTGAGTCAAGATTGCGTCACTGCACTCAAGCCTGGGTGACAGAGCGAGACGCTGTCTCTTAAAAAAAAAAAAAAAAAAAAAAAAAGATCAAGACCATCCTGGCCAACAGAGTGAAACCCCGTCTCTACTAAAATATAAAAATTAGCTGGGTGTGCTGGCGCACGCTACTCGGGAGGCTAAGGCAAGAGAATCGCTTGAACCCCAGAGGCGGCGGTTGCAGTGAGCCAAGATCACGCCACTGCACTCCAGCCTGGCGACAGAGTGAGACTCCATCAAAAAAAAGAGGAGCACATTTCTTTTTTGAATAAAAAAAGTCATATTATAGTCTGGTGAAGATGGGGATTGTGGTTATAAAATAATAATAGGCTGTGGTGGCTCACGCCTGTAATTCCAACACTTTAGTAGGCCGAGGCAGGCGGATCACTTGAGGTCAGGAGTTCTAAAAAATTAGCCGGGCATGGCGGTGGGTGCCTGTAGTTCCCGCTACTCGGGAGGCTGAGGCTACAGAATCGCTTGAACCCAGGAGGCAGAGATTGCGGTGAGCCAGGATCAATGCCATTGCACTCCAGCCTAGGTGACAGAGGGAGACTCTGTCTCAAAATACATACATACATACATACATACATAAAAATAAAACATAATCGGGGGATGGCAGGGAGTGGGGGAGAGCATTAGGGAAAAGAGCTAATGGATGCGGGGCCTAACAGCAAGCCAACATGGCACATGTTTACCCATGTAACAAACCTGCACATCCTACACGTGAACCCCGGAACTGAAAAAAATAAAATAATGATTTTTTAAAATCACCAACATGTAGAGATGTAAATAAGGGAAAAAAAAATGATCAATGACAGTTACTGAGTGTGCACTATTAAGCCTTTTCTGGGATTACTTCTTTTAATTCTCACAACAGTATTATCAGGTAGAAAACTATTTTTACCCCTATTTTATACAGGAAGAAACTGAGGGCAAAAAATGCTAAGTAACTCTTGCACAGTCAGGAGGAGAGAGGGTCCATGCAACTTGATTGCAGGGCCCACGTTTGTACTTTGGTTTTCTGCAGGCAGGCACACGGAGAGATGAGGGAGAGCCATGTGCCCTGTCTGGGTCACAACACCTAGAGATACCTTCTTGATCCAGCATAAACAAAAGGGTTTCCACAGGACAATGATGTTATATTTGTTGTAAAACAAACAAACAAAAAAAGGTCTAGGTAAACTGGTTACCAAAAGAGGAAGAATTAAACAAGTGTGAAAAGCTAGTCTCTACTGAAAAGAGATTTTTATCGTCAAGTCAGCAGGTCTAGGAGAGGACTCAGACAAACCACTAAATCCAGAAGTCAGACAAAAAAGGGCTTGTCATCTAGCGTTGTATTAAGTAGATACCTTTTTATTCTTTGCGTATTGCTGTTTGGAGGAGACATACTCTGCTTACTAATTATGGAGCATTAAAGACTCCAGTCTGTAAATATTCAGCTCTAAAGTCATTCCTGGAAAGCAAGGTAACAGGAGGCAGGAGACACCTGAAAGTAACCATCCAAAAGACTGGTTCATTAGTTTGATTGTAAACATTCTCTTCTGTCCCTACTATTTGAGGAATTTATGATTCCCCAGGTTGGAAAATGCCTAAAGAACTGAAACATGCAGTAACAATGTGTTTTTTTTTTTTTTTGAGATGGAATTTCCTTTTTTTGCCCAGGCTGGAGTGCAATGGTATGATCTCAGCTCACTGCAACCTCCGCCTCCTGGGTTCAAGTGATTCTCCTGCCTCAGCCTCCCAAGTAGCTGGAATTACAGGCATGCACCACCAGGCCCAGCTAATTTTGTATTTTTAGTAGAGACAAGGTTTCACCATGTTGGCCAGGATGGTCTCAAACTCTTTACCTCAGGTGATCTGCCTGCCTTGGCCTCCCAAAGTGCTGGAATTACAGGCATGAGCCACCACACCCAGCCTTTTTTTTTTTTTTTTTGAGACAAGGTCTTGTTCTGTTGCCCAGGTGGGAGTGCAGTGGTGCCATCTCAGCTCACTGCAACCTCCGCCTCCCAGGTTCAAGCAATTCTCATGCCTCAGCCTCCTGAGTAGCTGGGATTACAGGTGTGCACCACCATGCCTGGCTAATTTTTGTATTTTTAGTGGAGATGGAGTTTTGCCATGTTGGCCAGGCTGGTCTCAAACTCTTAGCTTCTGGTGATCTGCCCACCTCGGTCTCCCAAAGTGAACAACAGAGTTCTGGGCACACTGTTTCCCCCTATTTCAAATTGCTATGTCCCTTATAATCAACATTGCCAATACATTAATAATCCTTAAGTGAAATGGCCAATAGACATTTTCTAGAAGAAATTTTTCTTACCTAACTTGTATGAGTCTTATAACTTTTAGGTCTATTTCCCTTTAAATACTGCAGTTTAAGTAAATTTGCTTTGGCCAGGCGCGGTGGCTCAGGCCTGTAATCCCAGCACTTTAAGAAGCTGAGGTGGGTGGATCACGAGGTCAGGAGTTCAAGACCAGCCTGGCCAAGATGGTGAAACCTCATCTCTACTAAAAATACAAAAATTGGCCAGGCATGGTGGCAGGTGCCTGTAATCCCAGCTACTGAGGAGGCTGAGGCAGAGAATTGCTTAAACCTGGGAGGCAGAGGTTTCAGTGAGCCGAGATTATGCCACTGCACTCCAACCTGGGCAACAGAGTGAGGCTCTGTCTCAAAAAGAAGAAAAGAAAAGAAAAGTAACTTTGCTTTGGATAAAATGTGTTTTTTCCTCCAACTACACTTCCACATTTTCTGTCTTTGATACCCAGATGTCCTATACATGAGATCACAGTAGCTTAAGCATTTATAGACAAGGCAGTGTGATGTCCTATAGCTATGCTGTCCAATACAGCTGCCACTAGCTACATGTGGCTATTTAACTTTAAATTTAAATTAATGAAAATTAAATGTAACTAAAAATTAAATTTCTAGTGCCGGCACTGTGGCTCATGCCTATAATCCCAGCACTTTGGGAGGCCTCGGCGGAGAATTTCTTAAAACTGGGAATTTGAGACCAGCCTGGGCAATATAATGAGACCCTGTCCCTACAAAAGTTCTTTTAAAATTTTCTTTTAAATTTTTACATTTAAGCCACTCCTAGCTACTCAGAAGGCTGAGGCGGGAGGATTGCTCGAGCCCAGGAGTTCAAGGCTGCAGTGAGCTATGATTGCGCCACTGCACTGCACCCTGGGCAACAGAGAGCAAGACTTGTCTCAAAAAAAAAAAAAAAAATTGAGTTTCTCGTCACACTAGTTTCATTTTATGTGTGCAATAGCCACCATATTGTGGGGACTGTATTGGTAACAGAGATATAGAACATTATCACAGGAAGTTCTATGCCTACCCCCAGAAAGAACACAACACATGTTTAGCAACAGACAGACCTTCATCTTTTCAATTCCCACCTTAATCTTTTACTAGACTTGTGACCATGGGAAGTTTCTTAAACTTTCAAAGTTTCAGATATTTAAACTATGAAATAGAAATATGGCTGGGTGCAGTGGCTCATGCCTGTAATTCCAGCACTTTGGGAGGCCAAGGTGGGTGGATCACCTGAGGTCAGCAGTTCGAGACAAGCCTGGCCAATATGGTGAGACCTCATCTCTACTAAAAATACAAAAAATTAGCCGTGCGTGGTGGCAGGCGCCTGTGATCCCAGCTACTCAGGATGCTGAGGCAGGAGAATTGCTTGAACACAGGCAACAGTTGCAGTAAGCCAAGATCACGCCCCTGCACTCCAGCCTGGGTGACAGAATGAGACTCTGTCTCAAAAAAAAAAAAAAAAGAAAGAAAAGAAAAGAAAAAAGAAATACAAATATACCTACACCTGTGTGGTGGTGGTCAATAATATCCAACACACTTTATTGTTTTATAAAACTATTATTATTAGTGCTTAGGGATCAAACATTCCCTTTTTGATCCAAAGTAAAAAAGCTTTTGAGGCCAGGTGTGGTGGCTCATGCCTGTAATCCCAGCACTTTGGGAGGCCGAGGCAGGCGGATCACCTGAGGTCTCCAGTTCCAGGCCAGCCTGGCCAACATGATGAAATCCCATCTCTACTAAAAATACAAAAATTAGCTGGGCGTGGTGGTACACCCCTGTAGTCCCAGCTATTTGGGAGGCTGAGGCATGAGAATCGCTTGAACCTGGGAGGCAGAGGTTGCAGGGAGTAGAGATCGTGCCTTTGCACTCCAGCCTGGGTGACAGAGCGAGACTCCGTCTCTCAAAAAAAAAAAAAAAAAAAAAAAGCTTTTATTAGATATCAATATTTTCTTCGTCATACCTTGAGTATTCAATAAACCTTGCAGACTACCAAACATTTAAATTAAAAATGTCATAGAATACTTACACGTTTTTGTTCCTTCTCTAGGAGAGAAACAACTTGAATTGCTCTGGAGAAACTTCAGATTCAGATAGCTGTTTAAACTCATAAATTGTCCCAGAAGATTTCTAATTCCCAAACCGTCCCTCACATTTAATTCAGGAACATGTTCAGCAAATGCTTGTGTTTGTACACGAAGTCTCTCAGCGATCTAAGTTTGATTTGAAGAGCAATGAGGCAAAATTCCCATCTTCCTACCCCACTTTAGCTTGAAGATAAAACCTACTCAAGTTATACATACCAGTCCTTTCAAAAGCATTTCAACTTATCTAAGCATCTCTCTAGCCCCACCCACTCTTCCCCTTTTCATCTCAATATGGAACTTTGTGTAAAAGCATCCAAAGCTGAAAGACAGAGCTGTGGATAATGTGCCTGCAGAGCTTAATCCCTGTCAATCTCACAGAGGGGCACATTACAGTTAGGAATGTGTGCAACCAGAGCCAGGATAAGTTCAGATTAAACAAACGATTGTTTTATCAACCACAATTACACAATACAACTAAAACAAAAATAACCCTGAGAAGCGATGAGTAACCTGCAACTCGTCGTGATATGAAGTTCAAATAATTGCTAATGCCACACTTGGACAGTCAAGTTTTTCAAGTTTCCCCCTGCTCCCCCTGCCCAAAAAAATAGACAAGATTATGCAATGAGAAGATAAAGGAGATAGAAGACAATGCCCCAGGGCCGGGCGCGGTGGCTCACACTTGTAATCCTAGTACTTAGGGATGTGGAGGCAGTTGGATCATGAGGTCAGGAGTTCAAGACCAGCCTGGCCAAGATGGTGAAACCCCATCTCTACTAAAAATACAAAAAAAAAAAAAAAAAATTAGCCGGGCGTGGTGGAGGGTGCCTATAATCCCAGCTAACCAGGAGGCTGAGACAGAGAATTGCTTGAACCCAGGAGGTGGAGGTTGCAGTGAGCTGAGATCGTGCCACTGCTCTCCAGTGTGGGTGGCAGAGTAAGACTCCATCTCAAAAAAGAAAAGAAAAAGAAAAAAAAGAAATCAATGCTTCATCCTTACTATTCAAAGCTAGATTGCAAAATACACTAATCTAAGAAATCTTCGCTTTGTCTCCTCCCTGTAGCTTTAGTTGAGCTTTATGTAGGGTTTCTTTCATACAAAGAAGCACAAATATCTCTCTTGAAAGACTACAGCTCAGTAACCGATGAGAACATGCAGGGGCAGGTGAAAACACACAGCAGAACAATATAAGAATGTTTTCTGATGCACAATATGAGCAAATACAGTTCTAGTCCCTGTCTTTCTGCTAAGCAAAAAATCTGAACCAAGCCAAACCCTGCCATCTAAAATGGTCATTTTTGAAAAATGTCTTTATTAGTAATCATTTGTTTTCTGTAGAAATGGGAATAATAATAGCTAGCATTCATTGAGCATTTAATATGTTTAAAGCCTATTCTAGGTGATTCACATGTATTAACAACAACCCTATGCGGTAGGTAGAGAATATCATCTTTCATTTTACAGATGAATACACCAAGGCATAGAGAGGTTAAATAATTTGCTCAGGGTCACCCAGTTAATAAGTATTAGAGCCAGAATCTGAGCTTGGGCAATCCGGCTCCATTTTACACTCTTGTCTCTGTTGGCAGTTGAAACAAAGATGCACTTACATAGACACTGATTCCTTGCTACACAAAAACCTGCGACCATACATCAAAACTAACATCTTATAGTTTATGGTTACTTGTAGAAACCAAATTAAATGAAGAACCCAAACATTTGAATGGAACCTATTACCGTCATCAAAACCCACTTATCCTTGGTTTTCATAATTCCCGGTGGGGAACATATCTCCGTAATTTTGTCTGTCAGTAATTTTGAAAAGTCAAGAGGTGAGTCCTAGTGACATTACTTTAGCTCCAAATCATAGCACACCTGAAGTTGGAACCATCCATGAATTTTTCTTCTTTTTAGTTACGTGGCTAAATAAATTCCCTTTTTAAAATGACCCTTTGAGTTTCAACTGAAAGACTCATAACCGATACACTCCCTTCTCCAGCCGCTGCCATCCCCACCCCCACAGTGAGTGTCTCACGGGGGGGACCATGACCTCAGCCTGTCTCTTTATTCAGAGTGAACCTCAGGGCTTTTGTAGGCATGGCCAGAAAAGAAGCTCTCTTTCTATTGGACTTGAACCTGGAAAGATATGAGCCTGGAAATACTGCATCATCTAAGGCTGCTGGAGTCTGCTGCACAGAGCTGGGGTAATAGCCCATCCAGGGTGAAGGTGGAGTTAAGAGAAGCAGGGACATTGAACCCTGTGGGCATCATTTGAGTCCTGAACCTTTTCAGTGTCTGAAGCCACTCAGCCTCCAGCTATCTATTCCTGCCTTACAAAGACCCTAAATGTAGTGACTTAAACCAACAAAAATTTATGATGTCTCTCGGCTTGGCAATCTGGGTGACTGTCTGGATTTACTAGTCAGCTTTACCACAGTAACAAATGACTTCCTAAATCCCAAGGGCTTGTAACAACCCATGTTCCTCACTCTGCTGTTACACGTCTGCCATCACATCAGTGAATGCTCTGCTTCTGCTCCATGTGTTTTCACATTTGGGGACCAAGGCTGCAGCAGGAGCCCCCAGTCAAGCGAGACCTGTCATCTCCGTGGCAGAATGAAAAGAGCAAAATACCCAATGGCCCTTTAAAGCCTCAGTTCAAATATGGTGTATGTTATGTCCTTTGATACCCCATTGACCAAAGCAAATCCCTGGCTTTGAGGACTCCCTGTAGCTGTCTGGGTATGTTAGGTTAGCACCCAAGGCCCTTTGTGAGAGGTTAAGATAAGGAGATATGCAAGTACAGAGAAAAAGAGAGACCAAGACAAAGAAGGAGAATTTATATGTATTTCTACATGTGTGGTATGTGTATGACATTCTTTTTTTTTTTTTTTTTGAGATAGAATTTCATTCTTGTTGCCCAGGTTGGAGTGCAATGGTGCAATCTTAGCTCACTGCAACTTCTGCCTCTCAGGTTCAAGTGATTCTCCTGCCTCAGCCTCCCAAGTAACTGAGATTACAGGCGCCCACCACCATGCCTAGATAATTTTCTGTATTTTTAGTAGAGACGGGGTTTCACTGTGTTGGCCAGGCTGGTCTGGAACTCCTGACCTCAGGTGATCCACCCGCCTCAGCCTCCCAAAGTGCTGGGATAACAGGCATGAGCCACTGCACCCGGCTGGTGTGTAACATGCTTAAGGCAACTTCATTTCTGTGTGGAAGGTTGAAGGTCAGTCCCAACCTGAGATATAGAACCAGTTCTTTCCTAGTCAGGGAGAATTCAGGAAGCCATGTTCCAAAACAATAAGTAAGACTTGTGTTGAGCCTGCTCTGATTTCAGACCTTCGTTCCGCTAATTGGGATCCAGTCTTTGGTCCCATCTGTAGAGTTACAGCAGCTCTGCTACTGCTCATCCACTGGGGCTGCTGCCAATTGCTGCTCAGTCCCTTGCTGTCTTCATACAGCCTTGGTCACAGGCTTCTTCTCAAGGACAACTACAGGGTCTGCTCCAGGTACATCCCCACCCACGAGCATCTAGTTTCTACCTCCTTTCTGCCTACCAGTCAGGGGCTAAGATAATACGGATAATATGTAATAATAGCATCTGTCATTTATTTCATATAGTGATAATAGCATCTATCATTTATTGCATATAATCTCAAATTCTTATGTATCCCAGAAGTGCAGCTGTTTCCAGCTGGGCCTCTGTTTTCATCAGGCATCACTCTTGATATAGATCTCAACCCTTCTTCAAGTGCCCCAGAACAATCCATGAACACCAGAAGTATTCACGAACCATGTGGAATTGACTGAGGCTTCCCCAAAAGAGTGGAGTAGAGATTTATAGTGCACACCCAATAGAAGCGGCTTTTCTCTAATTTCCTTTTCTGCTGTGCTACCGTCAAGCCTCCTCCTTCTCCCCACACCTCGAAGCTTAGCCTTCTCAGCTGTATGCTGAATGCATACTGAAGTAACAAATAATGGAATATGTAACTACATAAAGCTTAAATAATAAGGTTTATTATCTCCGGGGGTATCATTTTCAGGCTTAGTGAATTCAGGGACCCAACAATATCATCAAGCACTCAACCCATGTGCTTTCTGCTATCCCCAGCATGTTGGTTTGCATCCTCAGAGTTTCCCTCATGGTCACAAGAAGGCTGCCATAGCTCCAGGAATTATGTTCACACATAGCTACATCTAAAGATAGGAAGAGGACCATTATTCCTCCTCCCCACATCATAAAGGAAAAACTTTCACAGAAACATCTCAGAAGACTTACCTTTAAACTCCTCCACTGGGGTTGGGTTACATGCTCATGCCCTAATAATAAAAGTTATTCAGCTGAGACAGGAGAACCGCTTGAACCCAGGAGGCAGAAGTTGTAGTGAGCCAAGATTGCGCCATTGCACTCCAGCCTGGGCGGCAGAGCATGACTCCATCTCAAAAAAAAAAAAAAGTTATTCAGGTTGAGTATCCCAAAATACTCAAAAACTTCTTGGGACCAGAAGTGTTTCAGAGTTCAGATTTTTTTTCCTCCCGATTTTGAAATATTTGCATTATACTTACCAGTTGAGCATCCCTAATCCAAAAACCCAAAACCTGAATGTTCTGATGAGCATTTCCTTTGAGCACCATGTTGACACTCAAAAAATGTTGGATTTTGAGGCATTTCGGATTTCAGATTTTGAAATTAGGGATGTTCAAACTTTATTGGCATTTTTAGCCTTTGGAGTTGGAAAGTGGATTCTGAGAGCAAGGATGAAAGGTGAGGAGAGAATGACTGTTGGGAAGAAAACCACCAGACTTAGCCACCCTGAGTAGCTTGGTGTCCTACTCACCTGTGTGCTCTGCAAAGTGTAATGCCCAACTATGACTAGGCGATGCTCTGGAAGCCTGGGTAAGAGCCATCTAACATTACTCAGGAAGGCCCTTTAGAGTCCTACTCCTGCCTCAATCCTAGCAAGGTTATCAAAGCCAGGGGAATCAAAACTCCGTCCTTACAGGAGTTTTACTCATCTTTCTACCTTTACTGCTTCTCCACATGCACAGCAATTCTGCAGGCTGAGAATTATCTCATTTTTGCAGATATGGAAGCCGAGTAGCAGAGAATTTAAGTGACTCACTCAGAGTCAGATAACTACTAAAGCGTAGATCAATATTTGAACCCAAGGCTGTCTGGTTCCAATGTCCTTGCCGTCAATGAAAGCAGAACAAAGACCCAAAAGAAAAAGCAAAGAAGACAGACTAGGCTTACATTTTAGCCGAAGAGTAAATATCTTCTTGGTCCTTCAGTTACTTAAAACCATTACAAGGTTCTACGGAGGAATGTAATTTCTGTCCTTGGTTATCTGGAAAAGATAAAACAGAGCAGTGCTTTCAGTACTTGGCCGAGGACATGGGGGCATTTTAAAGTGTTGGAATGATTGAACACAAGCCATGCTGCTGAGTTCTGGACACCCAACCCTTTAAATGGGGCCTGGGGAAACATTTACTGGAGGACCTGACCCCTGCCCCAAGAAAGGGGTCCCAGGCCAAAAAGCTGAGTAAACAGATATTTTTGCCACAGTGTGGTAAGTGCTATTATGGAACTATGAACACGGCTGTGAGAGTGTGGGTGGAGGAGGGGGAGGGGAGGGTGGACAGTAGAAAAACCCCTGACTGAGGTCATCCCTATGTTCTAGGACAGTACAGTCACTCGTTGCAAAACAGGGACCCTGAGTCATGAGGAAAGAGCTAAAGTGAATTCAGGAGACACCATTAAACAAGGCAGGGATGGGAGATGTCTTGGAAAGATTTCCTTCCAATATGGATCACAGGAAAACATTGTAGCAATTCTGAATGTAAATTTCAGAGGTTTGTTTGTTTGTTTTTAAGCCTGCTTTATGGAGCATTTCACATGGCTTTATGAGGATTAGTTCTTACTTCATGTAATATAGTAAGTAATTTGCATACACTATCTCATTTAAAGCTTAAAATAATCCTGTGAAGTTGATAGTTCTATTTTCCCACTCAAAACTTTTTTTTAAATTTTTGGCGGGGAGTGGTAACTCATGCCTATAATTCCAGCACTATGGGAGGCTGTCAAGGAAAGATCGCTTGAGTTCAGGAGTTTGAACCAACTTGGGCACCATAGTGAGACCCCATCTCTATAAAAAATAATAATAAACCAAAAAATTAAAAAATTTTCAAAAATTTTAACCGCTTCCCCCCACACAGTGTACCTATTTTAGGTATAGCAATTGATCAGAAAGGCGAGACAACTTGTCCAGGGTCTCTCAGTTCTTCACTGGCAGAATTGGAATCAGACCTTCCGTGTCATGAGGCCAAGGTGCCTTCTGGAAAATTCACTCCCAGCAAACACATGATTTCCTGGGAGAGATGGTTATAGCTTAGTATACTGGATCCAGATAGAGAATAGGTGTCCTGTGCTCACAGCGGAAAAGCAACAAAAATGGTAATGAAGGTTGAATGATCATCAGTAGAACCTTTTTTAAAAAAAGGGATAATGAACAATGCTCTATCCTCATATATTTCTGTAACAAAGCATTAAGGAATTCAGTTTTAAGGAGAAAAGTTTGTCACCCTGTATTTTCTATAGCTTAGTCAAATTGAGAGATGTGCTACAAAATAGAAGCAGTTAAACAACATCCAATCCACATTCTTGCCACTCAAAGAGTTCCTCATCCCCTGGTTGCTTGCTAGAAATGCAGATTATTGGGCCCCTTCCAGACCTACTGAAACATTTGAACAGGAACCCCCATTGATTTGCATGCACATTAAATCTGAGGGGCTTGCTGCTCTACATAGTTACCTTTCTCTGCCATTGTTTCTTCCGTTGGGGATAACGTCTTACGGGTCTGAAAATCAAACACATAAGCAGGTCATGTTGTGAGCTGCAAAAGACAAATTTGACAGCAAAACAACATTTACTATCTTTTTAACTGAGTTTAACTTTAACTTAATCTAGTAACTTCTTTTGAATAGATTTTTAGGAGGATTTGTGGTCCTACAAGAGGAGAGGGAAGATAATGGGGAAAAAGAAGTCAGCAGGAAGGAAAAGGAGGGTATTTTCCCCAATGGCATAGACCAATCATATGACACCCTTAATGTGTTATCAAATTTCTGCAGGGGTCAGATGTGAAGCCCATTACCTGACATGCCCGCTGGGTGGTCTGGACTTTGAACAATGGCTCCTCCCATCTGGAACCCTCTGCTATTTTGCAAACGTTTCAATGGCTCTGCTGAAAGCAAGGAAACAACAGCTGGTGAATAATCTCATTTTATATTAATAGAGCAGCACTGACCTATCCAGGTCCCTTAATACTTCACGAAACAGAACATCCTTTCTTTCCCAGGGCAAGGAAGGGAAGTCTCAGCCATACCACATTACAGCACCAGTAGCGGCCCTGCAGGAGAATGAGCAGAAAGAGTTTTTCTTGCAAACCCACCTCACTGGACTTTTTCAGATGAGGATTAAGTTAGGCTAAAGGAGGATGGAAGAGAATATCCGCATTAAATCCCTGGACTTTACCTATGCAAAGAAATAACCAGAAAGTAAGATGATTCTTGCCCCAGCCTTGCCTCTGTCTTCTGTATGTGCAGCTCCTTCTGTGAAATCAAGATAGAGATGTCCAAGTTAAGTGACAACCCGAAAGATAAATGTGGGTTATTTTTAATACCAGGGCTAGCTGGTGCTTTAATGTTAGTGGAGTAAAATAAAACAGAATGTGACAACACCACAAGTTAATGAGTGTTTGTGCCTGTGCCAGTAGCATTTTTAACGCTGTAGAGAATTGCAAAGGATTAAGGTATAATCTGTGATTTCAAGGAACTTCATTCTGCTGGAGGATTTCTTCAACACAAATGACTAGAAGCAGGGATGTAAAATATAAACTGAAAGATATACACCTTAGCCAATTATACCATCACTGACACATACAGAAAAGGAAGATTAAAATGTTTTGATTAAGCAACGTTTCTAGAGATTCTGTCAAAACTTAAACAAACAAACAAAAATATCCTGGAGAAAAGTAATGCTTTCTTTAACATTTATAAACGTTCAATTGAGTATTCCTGCTCCAATTTTCTCAGTGTGGAATAGATGGAAAGTTGCTAGAAGGGAGTGGTTACATGCCACCGGAGTAAGTAAGCTGGGCCAGGCATAGAGACTAGCTGATGAGAAGTAGGGAGAATGGCGGAAACTTCCTAAAACAGTAGTTCCTAACCTTTGCCTTTTGTTTGGGTCAAGGACTCTGTGATGGTTAATTTTACATCTCAATTTGGCTAAGTGACAGTGCCCAGACGTATATGGTCAAACATTATTCTGGACATTTCTGTGAGGGTGTTTTTGGGCGAGACTAACATTTTAATCAGTGGACTCTGAGTACAGCAGATGGCCCTCCCTAATATGGGTGGGTCTCATTGAATCCACTGAGGGCCTGAAAAGAACAAAAGACTGATTCCCTTGAGCAAGAGGGGATTCTCTGGCCTGACAGCCTTCAGACCTTAAGCCTTGGCTCCTCCTGGTCTCCAGCCTGCCAGCCCACCCTGCAGGTTTGGGACTTGCCAACCTCCACAGTCATGAGCCAATTCTTTAAAATAAATATCTTTATAGACACATTCTATTAGTTCTGTTTCTCTGGACAACACTGACTAACACAGACCCTTTTGTGAGTTTTTAGAAGGAATATTTATTGAATGTCTTCTATGTGCCTAATTAGGGACCCTCTTCCTAGAAAATTGCACATGAACACAAAATTTTACATATGGTCTCCAGGGAATCACCAAATGCTTGAAGCAAATCCATGGACTCCCTCCCTTCATTAAAAAACTCCTGGGCCTCCAGCCCTTTACATGAAGGAGACATAGCTGAATATTTCCCCATCCAAATATTCCTGCTCTGAAAGCAGTTACCACCCGGTTGGTGAAGTAAGGAGTCTACCTGCCCAGAGTTACAGAAGGACCAGGAAGGCGTCCGGCCATATAGCTCCCTCTCCCTCACCTCTCTGGGAGGCCAAGATTTCTATGTTAGCATCAGCACTCTGGGGTGGACATACGTTCACTTAACTAGATAGAAAAAGGCATTGTTACTACCCATGGTGTGGCTGAGACTAGCTGGTTGTTCTTAAGCTTAAACACCAGTACTGCCTTCCTTGACATTCTCCTTATCTCCTCGTCCTTGCTGATGGACTGTGAGTGAAGGTGATGTGTGTCACCTCCAGTCAGAGGCCATGCAGATGGGGATGCCTTTCATGCCCTTTCCCCACTTTCAGCAGACTCACTGAAGGACTTCTCTGAGGTATTGACAGAGGCCTCAGATGGCCAAGGGGCCAGATCCTCTTTCTCCTGCACTCCACACTGGATTGTGACACAAGCAAAAGATCATCCTTCCTTTGTGTTACTTATGTTAAACGACTGAGATCTGGACCTTGTTTGTCAGCTTATCCTGACTAATGCATTTTACCATTATGAGAAAGATATTAGTAAAAATATTAGACAAATACCAACTTAAAAATTCTAATATGATCTAGGCTGGGCAAAGTGGCTCACGCCTGTAATCCCAGCACTTTGGGAGGCTGAGGCAGGCAGATCACGAGGTCAGGAGTTCGAGACCAGCCTGGCCAACATGCTGAAACCCCGTCTCTACTAAAAATACAAAACATTAACCGGGCATGGTAACACGCACCTGTACTCCCAGCTACTCGGGAGGCTAAGGCAGGAGAATTGCTTGAACCCAGGAGGCGGAGGTTGCAGTGAGCCAAGATCGCGCCACTGCACTCCAGCCTGGGTGACAGAGCAAGACTCCATCTCAAAAAAAAAAAAATTCTAATATGATCTAAGCCATTATTATCCATTGACCTTAGCAGAGACTAAAGCCTGGGTCCTGAGGAAGTAGCTGTGTCTAGGGCTAAGAAGTCCAAACTTAGAGACCGCAGAAGACTAGGCTTCTGCTGGAGGCAGTCATGCTGCACAAGTCCAGGAGGCTCCATTCACACAGATTCTATAGTTCCCTGGAGTTGTACAGTGCACTGCCTGCACAACCGTACAAAGTAGCCCTGCTCCTGGGAGTGGCAAAGCAGCACAAAAGAGGCAGGAAGAATTGAGAGAGAGAGAGAGAGGAAGGGTGACATGGGAGCCCGCTATGCCTCTCTCATGACCTCATCACCCAGTCAAGTGCTTGCCCCGCTCATTGCTGAGATACCTGAAAAGTCCACCCACACCTCAGCTAATCAGATTCTAGGACAAGCCTTGGTTTGAGGGCCCTTTTGTTTTTGAAAAGAAGCATATCTCCCCTGAACTAGTTCCTGATGGTCTGCCTTAAATTATTGGCTACTAAAGGAAAAATAGTACTAAAGGGTGACCTGTCTGTTGGCCCTGCAGTTAGAAAATAGGGATTATTATTCCCATTTGTCATAGAAAACCTTTCCTTCTTTCTTTCTCTTTCTTTCTGTTTCTCTTTCTTTCCTTCTTTCTCTTTCTTTCTCTTTCTTTCTTTCTCTCTTTCTTCCTTCCTTCCTTCCTTCTCTCTTTCCCTCCCTCCCTCCCTTCCTCCCTTCCTCCTTTTCTCCTTTCCTCCCTTCCTCCCTCTCTTTCTCTCTTTCTCCTTTCCTCCCTTCCTCCCTCTCTTTCTCTCTCTTTCTCTCTCTCTCCTTCCTTCCTTTCCTTCCTTCCTTCCTTCCTTCCTTCTTTCTTGATGGAGTCTTGCTCTGTCGCCCAGGCTGGAGTGCAGTGGTGCAGTCTTGGCTCACTGCAACCTCCACCTCCTGGGTTGAAGCAATTCTCTTGCCTCAGCCTCCCAAATAGCTGGGATTACAGGCGCCTGCCACCGCACCAGCTAATTTTTTTTTTTTTTTTTTTTTTGTATTTTTGGTAGAGATGGGGTTACATCATGTTGCCCAGGCTAATCTCAAACTCCTGAGCTCAAGTGATCCGCCCGCCTCAGCCTCCCAAAGTTCTGGGATTACAGGCGTGAGCCACCACACCTGGCCACCCTCATACCCACTTTTAAAAAACTTTATATTATAGAACATTTCAAAGATATACAAAATAGTGAAAATAATGTAATGGGCCATCATTAGACTTCAACAATTATCAACGTGCGGAAATTCCATTTCATCTATTTATCTCTAACCCTTGTTCCCTCCCTTGTTTTCTACCACTTCTCTGGATTATTTTGAGATGCATCCCAGACTTCATATCATTTTATTCATACATATTTTAGTATGTAGCTCCAAAAAAATTGTTTTTTAAAACATAACCATGATGTCCTTATCACACCTAAGAAACTTCCTTAATATTGACAAATATTCAGAGTTCAATTGTCTCCAATTTTCTAATTTTTTTCCACAATTTGTTTAAATTAGTATCCAAGCATGATCCACACCTGCAGTTCGCTAATATGTCTATTGGCTCTCTTTTCATTTACAAGCTATCCTGCCTTCTTTTCTTTTTTTTTTTTTTTTCTTCTAATTTATTTGTTGGAGAAACTGGACCATTTGTCCTGTTGAGTTTCCCACATTCTGAATTTTGCTGATTGCAACCCTGTGGTGTCATTCAACCTGTTTCCCTAAGCCCTGTATTTCCTGACAAGTGTCTGTTAGATCTATAGCCTTGATCAATTCCGGCTTGATATTTCAACCAAGTTATTTCATAGGTGGTGGTGTGAGTTTTTGCATCTCATTAGGGGCACATGTCTGCTTCTCTCCCATTTTTGTAATGTTAAGATTAATTAGTGGGTTCGGGTATTGCCATCTTAGTCCATCCATTAGAGAGTTCCCCATCAGCATTTCCCCTAATAGTTTTAACAGCCATTGATGACCAGTGCTTGGATACATTATTTCTATGACTGCAAAATTATGGTATTCTAATTCTATCATTCTTCCTTCATCTATTAGCTGAAATGCTTCTCAAAGAAGACCTCTCCCTCAACAACAATTTAGTTACCCTGAAATACAGTTCATATACAAAAGACAAATGCTCGATTCTTTTCCCTTTTTAAACCAGTTTTCAGAGTAATGAGTTGGTTTCCTAGCAACCTGTAAAGGTGACCTATGAGGATTTTTTTTCTCTGGTATAATTATAAACTCATGGATTTTAACGTATTTGATGTATTTCAATCCAGTACAGATGCTTGAATTATTCCATCTTTGAACAGTGAGTTTCTTTCTATTGGTTCCTAACCTAAGCATTGAGGACACAACTGAGTCATCTCTGAAATCTTCCTTACTTTCTAGTATGTCAAAATGTCTACTTATTTTCTTTTCTTTTTCTTTTTCTTTTTTTTTTTTTTTGAGAGAGAGAGTCTCCCTCTGTCATCCAGGCTGCAGTGCAGTGGCTCAATCTCAGCTCACTGCAACGTCCGCCTCCTGGGCAGAAGTGATCCTCCCGCTGCCTTACCCTCCCAAGTAGCTGAGACTATAGGCACTTACCACTATGCCCAGCTAATTTTTGCAGGTTTTTTTTGTTTTTTTTTAAACGGAGTCTTGCTCTGTCGCCCAGGCTGGAGTTCAGTGGTGCGTCTTGGCTCACTGCAAGCTCTGCCTCCCAGGTTCATGCCATTCTCCTGCCTCAGCCTCCCGAGTAGCTGGGACTACAGGCACCCGCCACCACACCCAGCTAATTTTTTTGTATTTTTAGTAGAGACAGGATTTCACCATGTTAGCCAGGATGGTCTTGTTCTCCTGACCTCGTGATCCACCCGCCTCAGCCTCCCAATGCAGTTCTTTTTTTGTAGGGACTGGGTTTTGCCAAATTTCCCAGGCCGGTCTCAAACTCTAGGGCTCAAGCAATCCACCTACCTCAGCCTCCCAAAGTGTTTTGATTATGGGCGTGAGCCACCAAGCAAGGCTCCAAATGTCCATATCTTGCCTCAACTCTGGAATCAGTGATTATCCAAGGATGCCCTGGTTCCCTTTAGTGACAAATTGGATTTAGAAACCACAGTCACAGAGCTGGCCAGCTCCCTACCTAGGAACCCTCTCCCTCACATCCCTCACATTTCATTTGATCCTACTTTTTCCCCAACACTTCACTGTCCCAGACTTCCCACAAGGGAACAAAAGATTGATAGCTAAAGGAAACTCATAATATAGTCATGTGTCACCTAATGACAGAGATGTGTTCTGAGATATGCATCATTAGGAGATTTCATCATTATGTGAACACCGTCATGTTCTCACACAAACCTAGCTGTGCAGCCTGCTACATGCCTAGGCTAATGCTATAGCCTATCCCTCCTAGGTCACAAACCTGTACAGCATATTACTGTACTGAATATTGTAGGCAATTGTAACACAATCATAAGTATACATGTATCTAAACATATCTAAATACAGAAAAGGTGGCTGGGCACAGTGGCTCATGCCTGTAATCCCAGCACTTTGGGAGGCCGAGGCAGGTGAATCACGAGATCAGGAGAACGAGACCATACTGGCTAACATGGTGAAACCCTGTCTCTACTAAAAATACAAAAATTAGCCAGGTGTGGTGGCGTGTGCCTGTAGTCCCAGCTACTTGGGAGGCTGAGGCAGGAGAATCACTTGAACCCAGGAGGCAGAGGTTGCAGTGAGCTGAGATTGCACCACTGCACTCCAGCCTGGGCAACAAGAGCAAAATTCCAAAAAAATTTAAAAATTAAAAATTAAAAACGAAAGAAAGAAAAGGTACAGTAAAAAATTCAGTATTATAATTTCATGGCCGGGCATGGTGGCTCATGCCTGTAATTCCAGCACTTTGGGAGGCCGAGGCGGGTGGATCATGAGGTCAGGAGATCGAGACCATCCTGGCTAACACCGTGAAATCCTGTCTCTACTAAAAATACAGAAAATTAGCCAGGCATGGTGGTGGGCACCTGTAGTTCCAGCTGCTCAGGAGGCTGAGGCAGGGGAATGGCATGCACCCGGGAGGTGGAGCTTGCAGTGAGCCAAGATCGCACCAGTGCACTCCAGCCTGGGCAACAGAGTGAGACTCCATCTCAAAATAATAATAATAATAATAATAATAGTTTCATGAGACCACTCTCCTATATGTGGTGCATCACTGACTGAAATGTCTTTATGTGGTGCATGACTATAACTGAAAACAGTTATCACCTTGATACACGTGAAGATTGAGACAAATCTCTTCTTTAGTGGAACGTGTCTAATTCCCTCACATGAATAGCCTACACTCTTTCCCTTGGTTATAAGGGCCCCAAAACTATCGGGTTCCCAAAACCAAGGAGGTAGGGGGTTGAGGGACACTTACCTTTGCCTAATGAAGTTTTATGTATAATACAAGAAGAGCACATCCTTTCTCTACAGGTGTCTTTTGCACTCTAGTAATCAAAACAGTTGTTTGATTGTATGGTTTCTTATCAAGCATTTTGACCCCTCAAGTTTTATTTTTTATAATATCAAGGGATATTTCTAAGTTGTGGTTTGATGAGTCCCTGACTTCAAACCCAACTAGTACATCACAAAATAACCATGTTCTGTAGTCACCGAAATCTTTAGATCTACCTGAATGGATGTGGACCCATCTCCTAGATAGATTAGGTAGAAAACAGTATTTATTATGTTATCATTTGTGTAAAAGGGAAAAAGAGCTTGAATATGCACAGAACATGTTTGAATCTATAACAGATTGGTATAGAACTAGAAGGGAGACTCACATTTCACCATATACCTTTTGGTTGTACTTTTGACATTTTAGTAATGTGCACGAATCATCTATTCAAAATATTTATTTAAAAAAAAACTGAAGAAAGCACTTTAGTAGAGAATCAATACTGTCTGATTGATTGATTGATCGATCTCGGCTTTCCAAGGAGTTATTGTAGATGGAAAGTGAAGAAGGGTATGCTTTTATAGGAGTATATTTATCTCTTAGGGGAGGCTTGAAAGCCAGAGGGGATGAGGATAAAGAGAGTTTGAACAGACACCCAGAAACAACTGCACTTGAAAGAACTTGTGAAATGCTTAAGTTCTCTGACACTTAGAGAATTACACCCTAGCTATGATACCATTAGGAGATGTGAGAGTGTGCTTGTTTAGAAAGCACCAGAAGTTGACTTCAGGTTCCGGAGGCCAGCCAAGGAGTCTCTGTCTGCAAGGATTGTGTCAAATTCATGCACATTCTCAACAATGACTGTATTTTTCTAATGGGGGATGGAGGGGATGATGGGATGGGGAGAAAGGGCAAATATTCAAAGCCAGGCAAAGGTGGGGGCAAAGTCAGGAGGCTTTTGGACTTTGACACCTTATCTCTGTTTTTGCCATCTTGGTGGGGAGTGAGGAACAGAGAAGAACTTGGTTTATTCTCAGGGAAATGTCTGGAGGCTGCCACATGGCTTCAGGTCAGCCTGAATTTAGGATTTAGTTCTAATAAAATTTTATTCTGGGATGCAACCTCCCTCTAGTTGTTAAGACTTCTGGTTGTCCAGTCTAGAATTGTTTAAACCATATCAATGACTTCCAATAAACAGAGCTTAGAATGGAAGAAAAGAAATAAAGAGAAAAAGGGAAAGATGTTCATTAGTTAAAGCCAAATCACCGATCACTTATGGCAGGCCCTTCACTTTATCTCTCTTTTCATGGACCTTCCCTATCAACAGCACTTCTAGAGAGGTGGCATTTTGGAGTGGGAAAGACCTGGGTTTGAATCCCAGCTCTGCCATATTAGTGGAACAACCTTGGGCAAATTACATAAATGCTCTGAACCAATGTCCTCTTTGGTAATGTGGGACACTGATGGGTACTTTAGTCTTAAGTTAGGATCAAGTGAGAGCATTTATGCAATTCAGCACGCATTTTTTGGGTACCTATCATGTGATAGTGAGATAGAAAACCAGCAGAACTTGTTTTCTGGTTATAATCCCGCTGACCAAAACAGAATCTACTCCAGACGAGATAAAGTGAAGAGCCTGGCCAAAACCAGCAGATGGTGACAAAAGCAATCCCTAGCTGCCCTCATTGCTCATTAGCATAAGACACTCCCACCAGAGCCGTGACAGTTCACAAATGCCATGCCAATGACCCAGAAGTTACCACCCTTTTCTCTGGCAATGCCCCAGAAGTCACTGCCTCTTTCCTAGAAAGCTCTAAATAACCCATCCCTCAATTTGCATTAACCCTTCCCTTAATTTTCCAAATAATTGAAAGTGAGTGTAAGTGAGTATAAATACAGTTGCTTAGAGCCCATACCTTGCTGATTCTAGGCACACTGCCTGTGAGTTAGCCCTGCTCCACAAGAAGTAGTACTGTTCAGGAAAAGGTTGCTATCTAACACCACTAGCTTGCCCTTGAATTCTTTCCTGGGCAAAGCCAAGAACCCTACTGGGCTAAGCCCCAGTCTTGGGGCTCACCTGTCCTGCATCATCAGGTGGCCACAAAGGGATGAAGATAATGAGTGGGAGGAAGTGACCACTGTGGCATTGAGACAGCAGAAATGGCAGTCATCAGCGGCAAGATGGCAAGACAGTGGCAATTAGTAAAGAGGCCAAATGATAAGAAATACTTGAGAGCTGGAGAAATGGTGAGACAGCAGGATGGCAAGACGGTGACCAGCGAGATGGTGAGAGGCGGCAATCAGAGAGAGGTGGTGATGTGGCAGTCAGCCAGCCCTGTAAGGATCAAAGCTGCAGAGAGCTGGAACACTAACCAAAGGTTCTTTGCAGGACCATCATCTTTCCTGGCAGATGGTGGAGCTGAGTGGATAGACGAGCAGCCATAGCGCAGGGATTCAAAGCTCTGGCTGGGAGGCTGCAGGATCACATGCCAATTCCCTCGCAGCAACCGAGCCTGCCCAAGCCTGGGAAACCTGGGGAGTAAACCTTCACCTGCACCGTACATCAGAGACCGGTTGGCCCTATTTTGACTCCTGTGGACAGGTAAGTATCCCTTTTGACTCATCCCCCAAATATCAGGTGAGCCAAAGGAAAATAAGGCCTTTGGTTTAGACAGTCAATTCAAAGTCCCCCATAGCATACCTGATTACATCCCTATTGCCCCTTTTCTAGGTCGTTTCTCCTCTAACATGATTTTATTTTTCTGTCAGTCATTTTATTTTATTTTCCACCTTGAAATATATGTTTTCTTTGCAGTTTTTGCTTTGGCTCCCTGCTAACTCTATTTGGGCAATTGTTTAAGGCTGAACACTTGGTTATGAGAGGTACCCTGTTTTATTGACCCTGGGATGCCAGAGTCATGTTGTTCTGTGACCCCAACTTGGTCTTTGGCCGCGCCCTGGATGCTCTGGGATTTTCAGCATTGGGTGTGGGGACTCTCATTGGCCACTACTCGGTTACTCTGGGTTTTCAGCATTTGGTATTGTTGGCCACCCCAGGTACTCTGGGGTTTTTGGCATTGGCATTCCCTCTAGGATTGTGGGGTAGAAGACCACCTAAGGGGACTCTTGGTCTTGCCGTTTCTCATTTTCTACCCTAAAGTTATAATTTCCCATAACAACCTTTCCTTTTGTTGTTGCCACTTTATTTACACTTTTCCCACTATAACTTGCTTAATAAAAATACTTCTTTTGTCACATTTCATTCACTTTATAAGCCACTTTCGTAACACCTTGCTACCTATACTTACACCTTCTCTGCAGGAAGTGGAAATTGGAAAGGAAAATAGAAAGGGCCCTGTTGCTTTGCCTCTCACTAGACTCAGAAGAACTTCTGTGTCCAGTAGAAATCATTGTTAGACATGGAGACAATGCTAAGTATACCTAAGGACTCATCATTAGGATGCCTTTTAGGCTGTTGGAGCAAATTCAATTCTGGCTTAAAGAAAAAGAAACTCGGCCAGGCGCGGTGATTCACGCCTGTAATCCCAGCACTTTGGGAGGCCGAGGCGGACGGATCACAAGGTCAGGAGATTGAGACCATCCTGGCAAACATAGTGAAACCCCATCTCTATTAAAAATACAAAAAATTAGCCGGGCATGGTGGCGGGTGCCTGTAGTCCCAGTTACTCAGGAGGCTGAGGCACTTGGGTCCAATACAAATGAGAAGACCAAGAGATTTAGCCTAAACATGGTGTACATTATAATGCTATTTTATAATTAACATTAAAAAGAAGGAATATGGGGCGAGGTCTCTTATGTACAGGCTTTTACGGCCCTTTACTGACTCAGTGTTATTTCAAGGCACCAGGAAGCCACGCCTAAGGGATCCCCTTCTAGCTGCTTCTCTTAGAAGGCCTACTCCCTCCCCAGAGTCTTCCTAGTCTCCCAATTTAGAGGGGTTCCTGCCAGTTCTCTAACACAGGATTCCACCCAAGGTCATCAGGCACTCCTCCCCGTTATCCAACTAGCCCCAGCCTAAACCCTCTGCTGTCGGAGAAAGTAGCCCACCCAGTACCCCCGGAAATGGGGCTCCATATCAGCCCCGAAGTCAAAGCTGTGTCCATTGTGGGAGGTAGTTGATGGAGATGGGAGGACACTTAGAATACACGTGCCATTTTCTGTGTCTGATTTGGCTCTATGCAAGGAAAAATTCTGCCAATTTTCAGGGAATACATTAAAGTTTATAGAAGAGTTTGTTAAATTGACCATGTTCTTTAGCTTGGTATGACTTGCAGGCATTGTTGCCCACTTGCTATGCCATAGAGAAAAAGCAGAGCAAAGTGTGTGGCTAAGCCTCTCAATTATGAGAAGGTTAGAGACGTAATTCAGGGTAAAGATGAAAATCTCACTCTTTTTCTGGGTAGTTTGGTTGAGGAACTCAGAAAATATGCTAATACAGACTCAGACTGCCTGGAAGGGCGAGCTCTCCTGGGGAGGCATCTTATTACTCAATTTGCTCTGACATTAGGAGGAAGCTACACAAACCAGCAGTGAGACCCCAATCCCCTATGAACCAAGCCTTAAACACGGCCTTTAAAGTTTATAACAATAGAGATGGGGCAAAAATGGAAAAGACCAAAAGAAATAATCAAAAAGAACAATTATTGGTGATGCTGTAAGCGCCCTTCGACCTCAGGGCCACCCATCCTCAGAAAGTGTCTCAACACTGGTGTCCGGGATACCTAGACAAGAGCCCCAACTTGTCAGCCGCTAGGACAGAATCAGTGTGCCTACTATAAGCAAAAGGGTAATCAGCAATAAGAATGTCTTAATCATCCCTCGTGAGACGAAAAAGCTCCCTGTCGATGTTAGAACTAACCTTCTTCCACTAGCCCCAACAACCTGCCTTGCTCAGGTAAGCCAGAGCTTTGAATCCCTGTGCTATGGCTGCTCGTCTGTCCACTCAGCTCCACCATCTGCCAGGAAAGATGATGGTCCCGAAAAGAACCTTTGGATCAAGTCCCGGACCCTTGATCCAATGGACAGTTTCCCACAGTGGCAGACAAGCAGCCACCCAAACATTTTTCTTCCGTGTCTCTGCTGCTGGGTGACCTCTCTGGCAGCTCAGGGACTCTGAGGTCTCCCCTTTAGCAATGGATTTTGCCCCTTCCCTTCTTTATTTGATGCTACAAGATCCCCTTCCCTGCCTCTTCCTGTCTTCCATACCTATTGGAGCAAACAATATTTGGCCAAGTAGACAGGTCCCAATTTTATAAATAACAGATCCAGCTGTCTTGCACAGGTCGCTTGATTTGTGTGATGTGTGTTGCGCCGAGCATGCTATCAAATTGACTCATAGGCAGGGCGCAGTGGCTCACGCCTGTAATCCCAGCATTTTGGGAGGCTGAGGCGGGTGGATTACCTGAGATCGGGAGTTCGAGACCAGCCTGGCCAACATGGTGAAACCTCACCTCTACTAAAAACACAGAAATTAGCTGGGTGTGGTGGCACGCACCTGTAATCCCAGCTACTCGGAAGGCTGAGGCCGGAGAATCACTTGAACCTGGGAGGCGGAGGTTCCAGTAAGCAGAGATCATCCCATTGCACTCCAGTCTGGGGAACAAGAGTGAAACTCCGTCTCAAAAACAAAAACAAAACAAAACAAAACCATTGGCTTATAAATAAAACAGCACTCATAAATTAAACAAATAAGACTAAACTTGTTAGTTGGAAGGGAATATTGTGTCTTCTAAAATTTAACTTCCAGCTTTTTGCCTAGATAAAATACTGATTTTCCTAGGCTTTAGAATGCTTAACATGGCTTTAAATGTTGAACTTTTTGTGTAGCTTAAAATCTTAAAATTGGCTGGGCATGGTGGCTCACACCTGTCATCCCAGCACTTTGGGAGGCCAACGCAGGCGGATTGCTTGAGCTCAGGAGTTTGAGACCAGCCTGGGTAACATGATAAAATCCATCTCTACAAAAAATACAAAAATTAACTGGATATGGTGGCATGCACCTGTAGTCCCAGCTACTTGGGAGGCTGACATGGGAGGATTGCTTGAGCCCAGGAAGTAGAGGTTGCAGTGAGCTGAGACTGTACCACTGCACTCCAGCCTGGGTGACAGTGACACCCTGTCTCAAAATAAATAAATAAATAAATAAATAAATAAATAAATAAATAAATAAATAAAATTATAGAATGGTTCTCATCTATAGAATGTCAATATCTGATAGTTCAGGATTCTTTGCTTTCTAAATTTATATAAAATGTGCCAGGGAAAACATATATTCTTTACTGTGAAAAAGAATAACTTGTTCAATTCAGAAATTATTAAAAGGGAGGTTCAAAATACTAAGGAACGTGTGAATAAAAAAGAGAGATGTGAGGTGAGTTATGGATAGAAGACTTTTTTTGTGTGTGTGGGGAGGAATATATATATTTTAAATCATCTTGTATAACGAGGAATCTTGTGTGGTGGATTCTTGTCCTAGAATAAAGTCACTGGTGTTTGGAAGGGAGGTGGTATAGGTTGGGTCAGAGTGTCCAGACATGTCATGGATGGTCTATGTGGGTCATGATGGGCTCATGAAGGGGAATTTGTGAGGGGAGTTTAGTGTTTGACTAAGCTGGCTATGATTGATGGGGGAATTGTTTGTGGTGGACTTTCTAGAAAATGGTGTATGTGCCAGGTATGGTGGCTGACGCCTGTAATCCCAGCACTTTGAGAGGTCAAGGTGGGCAGATCACCTGAGGTCAGGAGTTCCAGACCAGCCTGGTCAACATGGGTGAAACCCCGTATCTACTAAAAATACAAAAATTAGTCAGGCGTGGTGGTGTGCGCCTGTAATCCCAGCTACTTGGGAGGCTGAGGAGGAGAATCACTTGAACCAGGAAGGCGGAGGTTGCAGTGAGCCGAGATCGTGTCACTGCACTTCAGCCTAGGTGACAAGAGTGAGACTCTGTCTCAAAAAAAAGAAAAAGAAAAAAGAAAAAAAAATGGCCTATGTGTTGAAACTGGGTTTTCTTTAGGTATTCATTTGCTAAATTACCAGAAATTTTGGTTTTCAATTCTGTTATCTATTTCTTTTGAAAACTTCTCAACTTTGTGTAACTCTCTCCTTCAGCTTTTTCATCAGCCCCTGTGACTTTTCTCCTCCAGTCTGACAGTTGCTGTGGCCTGATGCTAAAGTGTTTTGTCTTGGAGGTCTGCGTGACCAGTGTTTTTCCTGAATACAGCTTAATTCCATGCTCGTGGTTTTCCTTGACAAATAACCTTATTTTTGGCTTTTAGTTTTTTTACTCTTTTTTTTTTTTTTTTTTTTTTTTTTTTTTGAGACAGAGTCTTGCTCTGTCACCAGGCTGGAGTGCAGTGGCGCGATCTTGGCTCACTGCAACCTCTGACTCCCTGGTTCAGGCAATTCTCCTGCCTTAGCCTCCTGAATAGCTGGGATTTACAGGCGCCTGCCACCACGCCAGGCTATTTTTTGTATTTTTAGTAGAGACGGGGTTTCAGCATGTTGGCCAGGATGGTCTCAATCTCCTGACCTCATAATCTGCCTGCCTCAGCCTCCCAAAGTGTTGGGATTACAGGCGTTAG